CCTAGACAGTGGGATAAGAAATTTGATAATTTCATGCACAGTGCAGAGTACAGTAGATATCAGGCAGATCACTGTTATTATGTCAGATATTTTGACAATTCTTATATCATCCTACTGTTGTATGTGGATGATATGCTTATTGCAGGTGTTAGTATTGAGGAGATCAATAATTTGAAGGAACAGATGTCAGAGCACTTTGCAATGAAGGATTTGGGGGGTGCAAAACAAATCTTTGGTATGAGAATTGTCAGAGATAGTGTGAGATGCATGTTGAGACTCTTTCAGGCTGAGTATGTGAAAAAGGTACTCAGCAGATTTTATATAGATAAGGCCAAACCAGTTGACACACTCAAACCAGTTGACACACTCTTGGGAAGTCACTTGAAACTCAACAAGAATCAGTCACCCAAGTCAGAGGAGGAACGGGATTACATGAGTAAGGTTCCTTATACTTCAGCTATTGGTGTTCACTTATGTATGCTATGGTTTGGTTTGCACCTGACCGGATATTGCTCATGCAGTAGGAGTCATTTGTAGATACATGAGTAATTCTGGAAAGGAACATTGGGAAGCAGTGAAGTGGATCTTGAGGTATCTAAGAGGCTCTACAAAAACTTGTTTGTGTTTCTCATGAAAGAGTTCAGAGGTATAGGGCTATGTTGATGCTGATCTAGCTAGAGACATTGATACTAGAAGAAATACTACAAACTATATTTACACTATTGGTGGCACTGCAGTATCGCGGGGCTCTAATGTGCAGAAGACAGTTTCGTTGTCTACTACAGAAGCTGAGTACATAGCAGTGTCAGAAGCTGCAAAGTAGATGATATGGCTATAAGGCTTCTTGAAAGAATTGGGCAAGAAGGATCAAAATGACATTCTCTACAGTGACAGTCAGAACACTATATTCCTTGCCAGGAATCCAACATTTCAGTCCAGGACAAAGCACATTCAGATCAGGTATCACTTCATACGATCATTGTTGGATGACGGACAGTTGATGCTTGAGAAAATTTGTGGAAGCCAGAACCCTGCTGATATGTTGACTGAAGTAAGAACCCTGTTGATATATAGACTAAGAGTGTTACATTTCAGAATCTGAAGTTGTGCGCAGCTTCAGTTGGTCTTCTAACTTGAAGACATGGGCCTTGAGTTGTAGTAGTGGAGGATTCATGTTTGAAGAAAAGGGCGACATCGATATTGGTGGCACTGCAGTATCGCGGGGCTCTAATCTGCAGAAGACAGTTTCTTTGTCTACTACAGAAGCTGAGTACATAGCAGTGTCAGAAGCTGCAAAGTAGATGATATGGCTACAGGGCTTCTTGAAAGAATTGGGCAAGAAGGATCAAAATGACATTCTCTACAGTGACAGTCAGAACACTATATTCCTTGTCAGGAATCCAACATTTCAGTCCAGGACAAAGCACATTCAGATCAGGTATCACTTCATACGATCATTGTTGGATGACGGACAGTTGATGCTTGAGAAAATTTGTGGAAGCCAGAACCCTGCTGATATGTTGACAAAAGGTGTTACTCTGGAGAAACTCAAGTTGTGCGCAGCTTCAGCTGGTCTTCTAGCTTGACG